CTATCTCTACTTCTACTAAAATCAAAATTCGAACCTTGATTACGATTAAATTAAGGTTTTTTTTCTGTGTACAGTTTGCTCATGCCAATTGCCCACTTACAGATTCTCTAGGTCGATGTTGATTTGCGAAAAAAAACAAAAATCGGTTTTTTAGATAATGTTTTGGTTGGGAAACTCTCATGTTCGAAGCTAATTGAATTGAAGTGAATCTGATAAAATAGGTTTTAAAGATATGTTGATGTTTCTAAAAGATTCAGACCCTTTTTAAGTTATCTTTGTGGCTTTTGTAGTTGTGGTTTGGTTTCAGGTATTTGCTTGATTGAGTCTGATGAATGTTATCATGGATACTTGTAAGTTCTTGACTATTAGCTCTAAGGTGTTCAGGAAAGTTCATAATTGCAGCAAGCAACAGGCTCGAATCTTGAGAAAACCCTTGGAATCAGTTTATGGTGATCGCATGCCGAAAAATGAATACAACAAAGAAAGTGGTTCTCAATTTCACTATGCAAAAACTTCCATTTCGTCTTGCTCAACCGTTGTTTTTCTCTATGATCTCGTGTTTCGCATCTACTGCCATTTAGTTTTCATGGACGTCTTGCGATAACAGGCGGGTTTCTCTCTTATACCTGATGTGTGTAGGGGACAAATTTTCAGTCTCAAAAGGACCATGTGTGAATCGTGGCGTTCTCATGAACTTGTCTACTACGTCTGCTTTGGGTAAAGGAGGTGGTGTGTTGGACAAACCAATTATAGAGAAAACCACTCCTGGTCGCGAATCCGAGTTTGATTTGAGGTTAGTTTTCCTCAGCTATTAGTAAATTCGAACTAAGATCATGATTGTGTTCATTTAGAAAATTTCTCGAGGAATGTAAATCTGCCTGATCTATCGCTGTTTACACAATTGTACATTGTTTTTGATCAACATGATAAGCTGAACAATCTGAAAGGCACAGCAGAACAATGCTTATTGTGATTTTACATTGGTTTGATTCAGGAAATCAAAGAAGATGGCTCCACCTTACCGGGTTATACTACACAACGACAACTTCAACAAGAGGGAATATGTGGTTCAGGTGTTGATGAAGGTAATACCCGGCATGACTGTAGACAATGCAGTTAACATTATGCAAGAAGCCCACATCAACGGTTTGGCAGTTGTGATCGTCTGTGCTCAAGCCGATGCAGAGCAACACTGTATGCAGCTGCGCGGTAACGGCCTTCTCAGTTCTGTTGAACCTGATGGTGGAGGCTGCTGAAACTAATTAAAACTCATATAGATTTGCCTCTTCCCAGGACACTTTATTTAGTAAAAAAAAATGTCCTTTAATGTATATAATATCAGAAATTTGGTTCGAGACTGTTACTATATGCAATGAACCTTTTGCCCTTATATAGATTTGTTGTTGAGTTAATACTGAAGTGTTTTTTCATATGGAACTTAAGAATGCAAATAACAAAACTTTATTGAAGTCAAATGGTGTTACAGATGAATCTTTCTGATTCTGTAATCACTAATGTAAATATCTAAGCAATTGTAAGGGAGTGACGTTTTGCTGCTCCGGCTCATCAAAAAGCATTCAAATCCCAAGAAACCTGCAGTTTCAAGACATAGGGAAAACTCAAGAAGGAGAATAATACATGAATGCTATTAGCCGGAATGTTTATAGCTGCAATTGAGTAAATACCATATAGAGTTATCAAGCATCAACCGGAGAAAGAAACGACTGGATGCCGAAAATAATGAAAAGCATTCCACCAGAAAGAGCCACCTGCAAACAACATAAGACCCATTTCATCATAAATCTTACTCAACCTAGACCGTTGCTACAACGAAGAGAGGGATATCGAAAATATTACAATTCGTTCAGATATTTGAGATGCTAAGCTCTTGCCGCCAATTACAGCGGCTGTTGTGCACAATGTTTGTGCCCTGCGCAAGCAGAGAGATTAGTCAGCAGTTTAAAAAGGGTTATATATAAGTTTTGAAACAAACCATTATGTGAAGACTTACACAATTCCACCAAGGACCACGCCAAGTGGATTTTCATCTGCAGCCAAACCAATAGTAGCAAGCTAGAAACAGAGTTTAGTCAGAGTAAGTGTGTGAAGCACTAGCTAAAGTTCAACCAAATTGAGTAGAATGATGCAGAAGGAAAGCTACCTGACTCTTGTCACCCCATTCACCAAAGAAGTTAATCGAAAACGCCTGCAGAAGCGAGCGAAAATGTAAAACTAATTGCAAAAGGTCCAATTCTTCTCAAGAGAAATTCTGCGGAATATTACCTTCAGAAAAATGGGAGAAAAGAATGCAGTGAGGAATGGTCTTTTCTGTTTTTTCTGCTCATCGTCTTTTTTCGTTCGATCATTAGTCTTCAAATCAGAATCCTATTATATTGAACAAGTGTCAACCCAAAAGCATTGTTTTTAAACCTGAAAAAGGGGAGTTTACAAGAAGAGAAACCAACCAGTTCTGCTTCGACTTCGGCCAATTCTTCAGAACCCCTGCGTATAATATTGACAAAACATTTCCACAACAAAACATGAATGTCTTGGAAATAAACATTGTTCCTCAATGTCATCAAATTTACTTACCCTCCTTGTTTAAAACCGTCCCACAAAGACATTAGCCCGAAACCAAAGAACAACAATGTTGTTATATGATGAGTCCATTTACGAGAGATCTGCAAGTTGTGGTTTGAATCAGCCTCTAGTTACTACTTCATGGTAAGTAAATGCTTTATTATAAAGGCACAAGCATTTAAGAATTATCAAACCAGATTTGGAGCAGCCCAACCGATGGTAGCAGATAGAATAGTCATCACCTATAAGCAAGACATGAGCTTTCAAATCTCGAAGAGTTCATCGGAGTAAGATAAGTCTAAGTATGATACAGAAAAACTTACAATCAAGGCCGATAAACAACCAGCCAATACAAGTCTCCTAGGATAACGCATCGCCAAAATCTGGTTACAATGTAGACATTTTAACATTAGCACAAAGCATG